CTTCTTCTTCTGTTGTATGTTAGTAGTAGTTGTTGTTGTGTTTTTTTTTCGATTGCGTAGAGCAGAGGCCTTTTTCGCTGCTGCTGCTGCTGCTGCTGCTGTTGCTGTTCTTCTGCCGCTTCTGCGTCGATGGGGGTTGGCGGAGGGGGCCTTATTTCTCGGCTGCCTGCTGTGCGTCTTTCTTTTGATTTTACCTCTTCAGCTATCCTTTTTTTTTTTTTTTTGTCCTCTTCTTCTTTCTTCGTGTGTTTTCCGGCGGTGCTCGGGCGGAAGTAAATAACGCCCACCGCGTGCTTCGGAGGCGGCTGACGGGGTGCGACACGCGCGGCGGGGAGGTTCGTTTGACGAATGGCGGAGGCTTCCACGGCGGCGGGGGCGGGGCGTGCTGGGAGGAGCAGGGCGCTCTTCCTCCAGGACGAGGAGCAGTTTCTCTTTGACTTCGGCGGCTACTCTGCGGCGCCGGCGTCGGGGCGGGACCCCACCAGCCCTGCCTCATGCGCCTCCGCCCGCCCCCACGCGGAGGAGGACGACGGGGCGGCCGACCTGCGCGGGCGCGGCAGCGTCGTGGTGGCGCCGCTGGATGCGGCGGAGGTGCGGCACGGCTTCCACGCCGCCCTGCGCGCCGGCGGTGACGTTTTTCTGAAGTCCTCGCTGGACGAGGCGGTTGCAAAGTTTCAGTTGGGGCTGCAGCGGTACGGCGAGGCGTTGGGTCGCCAGGCACGGCAGGAGAGGCAACGCGCGACGGCAACGCGAAAAAGTCACGCCGGCGGCAGTAACAATAATGATAATAACTCAATTAATGTGACGAACACTAGCAACATTGCGGAAAGCAGGAAGCGAACGCGGCAGTGACTCTCCTCGGTTGGGAGATTCGCGGCAGTAGCTAAAAGCCGGACACATTTATTTACACAAAGGCGCATACATTGCGTGGGTGGGTGGTGAGTGCTTTTTGTATGCGAGACGGGCGTCTCGGTTGCCAGGGGGAGGCTGGACGAATTTCCCCAGAGATCAGCTGCGCCGTGCGCCCGTCCGCAGCCCGACACCATTACGACCGATGCGACGAACTTTTTTCTGCTGTTCTTCTTGTTGACATGTATATATATCTTTCTCTCTCTCTCTCTGTGTGTGTGGGATTGCCAATGATGATGCTCATTGTGTTTTTGCTCTTTTTTTTTTGCTTCCTCTTTCTCATTGCGAGAGCTTTGTGCTGTTGGGGTGGGTGGGGTGGGGGGATCGTTTGGTTCCTTTCCCCTCCTTGTCGTCCGGGGCAACTGCTTGCTACCCGTGGAGAGCCGTTGCTGGGGGGCGGGGGAGGCAAAGAGAGCGGGAGAGAGAGAGAGAGAAGGCGCCTGCGCCGTGGCGGCGTTCGCTGGTGGGGGAGAAGTCAGCGCCACGAATCACCGCCCGCTTTGTGTGTGACTGGGCACGACAATCCCCGCAGCCGAAGTAGAAGGGAAAGCAACAGGGGGGCGGCGGGGGGAATATACATACAGATAGGTGTTTTCACATATAACGCGGCTCACCGTTTGCGCGGATAGAGAAGGAGGCTGGGGGCGTGGGTGCGGAGCAGGTAAACAATAATAAAAAAAAATAGTAGTTTGTGGCGAGCATGGGGATTAAAGGGCTGTGGTCAGAGGTGCGTCCCGTGTGCCGCCAATCCCACCTGTCTAACTTTCGCGGCCAGCGTGTGGCGGTGGACATGTACGTTTGGTTGCATCGTGGCATTTTGGGTAGCGTGCAGCTTGGGACGAGCGCGGATGCAGAGGCATTCGTCGAGTCTGTTGCAGCGGCACCCGAGGGCGCGGACGCAGGCGCGTCCGTGCGTCTCACCAACAAATTTCTGCAGTTTGTGATGGGCCGTGTGGAACTGATGCTGCGGTGTGGCATCCACCCCGTGCTGGTCTTTGATGGGGCGTCGATCCCTGTAAAGCAGGGCACGGAAGAGGAGCGGCAGCTGCTTCGGGCAGCGCGGCTAGCAGAGGCGGTGCAGCTGATCAAGGGCAGGTCGGCGTCAAATCCCTGCGCCAGGCAGGCGGCGGCACAGTTGTTGGAGAAGGGCATGGACATCACCACGGAACTGGCGCATGCCGTGATCCAGGTGTTGCAGGAACGACGGCTGGAGTGCATTGTTGCCCCGTACGAGGCGGACGCCCAGCTGGCGTACCTGTGCAAGGAGGGGTACGTGCAGGCGGTTATATCGGAGGACAGCGACCTCATCGCCTACCACTGCCCCTGCCTTATCGCCAAGCTGGATGGTCACGGGAACTGTGAGGTGCTCGCTGCGCAGGACCTGCCGCGGTGCCCGAGCTTCTACGGGCTCTCGTACGAGTCATTCCTGGTTGGCTGCATTCTTAGCGGGTGCGACTACCTGCCGAGTCTGCCGCAGATTGGGGTGAAGAAGGCCTTCCGCCTCGTGGCCCAGGCCACCTCCGTCCCAAGCATCATGCGCACCCTGCAGGTGAAGTTCGGGTTTTCCAAAGACGAGCTCGACGAATACGGGGCGAAGCTGCAACAGGCCTTCTACTGCTTTGCGCACCACTTCGTCTTTGACCCTGTTCGCAAGGAAGTCGTGAATTTAACTCCGCTGCCACGCGGGATTCCACTCAACACAAAACTCCTCGGCGCGGCGCTACCGAAGGACGTCGCCGAGAAGGTCTGTGCGGAGTGCCTCTACGACCCTGTCAGCAAGGCTTTATACCGGGGCAGCTACCTGTACTGCGTCCAGGAGTACTGGCGGCACGTGCGCGGAGGACAGACCTCGCTGAAGGCGTATAGCGGGTTTCAGGACATGCAGTCCCCGCGGGTGACCATTTTGTTGGGCCAAGGCGGCGCCGACGCAGCGGGGCGACGTGCCTCTCCCACCACAACATTCTTTTCCTCACCGCTACAAAAAGTCCGTGAGGCAACGGGGTTCTGCGAAAAGGAGACCCGCGGCACGACGTTGGTGCGCTCCAAGTACTTCACCCAAGGGCGCTGGAAGGTGGAGGATTGGGAGAGCGAGGAGGGCGAGGACACCGCGACGACAACACAGACCACCGCCACCACGTGTGACAGCACCGCGGCTGCGGCAGCCGTCTGCAATGACGAGGCGGGGAGTCAAGCTTCCCAGTGGTGCGTCTCCTCGCTTCGGTTTGTGGCGAAAGACGCAATAGGAGGAACCCCGTCGTCTGCTTCTCAATCGACTACAAACCTGACGCAGGAGGATGGGCTTGCGGCGCAGCCGCAGCGGCGGCAGGATAGTAGCGGCCTGCCTGGGGCACCGGCCGCGTCAACATCGCCTGTGCCGCCAACTTCTGTGCCGGAGCTACCGCAGGGGGTAATGGCGGCGCCGCACCTTAACGAGGGCCAGCACCAGCAAGTGAAAGGCGGGTGCCCGTTTGGCTACCCCCAGTGCGGGCGGCGGCACTCCATCTTTGAGCTCTGCTTCCAAGGGAAGTCGTGGTCGAAGGAATTCGCCCCGCTTGTCAATGAGGAGGCGAACACCGTGGTGGACGGGATCCCCAGCGGCGGCGGCGGCGGGAGGAGCACCAAGCGCCCTGGCGGGTTTTCCCGTTCTTCCTCGTGGGGAGGCGCGGCTGAAAAGCGTCAACGCGAGGCGGCGTTACCGCCTTACTTTCGGCCCGTTTTTAGACCACCGGCGTCGACTGCCGCCGCACCACATGCGGAGAAGTTGTCCCCCACCGCGAAGCGAAGGCTGCCGTCCTCCGCAGACCAGGCGATGCAGCTGATGCAGCGGCTTCACCCCGGGGACGCCGACTCCCCCACGGTCTCTTCCAAGGCAGACGACACCTGTCGTGGTAGCGGAGCGGCTGCTAAGATGTTTGAAAAGCTTGGGTTTTCACGGCAGTGATTCCATCACACGTAAAACTTGATTTTCCCCTTTCCCGTTTTTCCTTCTTTTTTTTCCCCCGTTCCTTTGTGTGTGTGCCTCCCTACCTCTTTATTCATAGATGCTGTGAAGATATATATATATATATATATATATATTTTCAACTTAAATTGTTATTTTCTTGACTTCGGGTTGACGGGATTTAAAGGCCCCCTTTTTCTTCTGCTTGTCAAGGGGCTGCTTTTTAGGCGGATGGGGAGCGACGCCTGGTCACGCGTGGGGTGCGTCCCGGATGTGGGAGCAGGCGTCCCGTTAACGGCACAACGCGTTTATCCCTGCATGTGTGTGTGTGCACACATTACAGTTAAGTGTGGGGTGTGTGTGTCTGTGAGTCTTAGATATATGTGAAGCTCTGGCTGCAGCGTGCCACGCTTTCTTTCTTTCTTTTTTTTTGTATGGGCAAGGAAGAATACACACATTGCTGTCAGGTGTGCACTTTTTTGCAGTGTGTCTTTTACGCTTCTCTTTCCTTCCTTTTTTCTTTTCATTCTTGTTCTTATTCTTTTGTTTTGCTTCTATCCTTTTCGTTTCTTTGAGCGTGCACGAACCGTGTGAGGAGGAGGGTTGGCTGCCGTGCCGCAGTGCAATGGGAGCCAAATGGGGACTGGCTGAGGTGCCACGACAGCTGCGGCAGCTGCTACGCCGTTTTCCTGTGGGGCATGCCTCCGTCTACCTTAATGAGCTGCAGCCAAGTAGCCAGCATCTTTTTCTCACGGCCTGCATGGCCAACGGGCCTCGCACGGGGCGTGGAAGTGCGGAGAAGGTGTTGGGAATTTCTATTGACAGGCGGAACATCAGTTCGCACCCATCGTTTCAGGTGCGACCTGCGAAAGGGCGGAGGTCCCAAGAGCAGGAGGGAAAAGCTCCCCTATGTACGTCCGTGCCCACGCTACACAACATGGTGTCTACCTTGCACCTGCCGCCCGGGTCGAAGGGGATGTTGGCGGCGTATCGAACCCCTCATCCCACACTGCTGACGAGGCCGCATCTTTTTTTACTGACCGTTCCACGTTGGATGCTTGAGGACGATGTGGGAGGCAGCGGGGGACGGCGCACGGTGGAGGCTGTTCTTCAGTCTCGTCTAGTGCAGGTGCGGAACACGTTGTATTGGCGGGAGGGCGATCCACCGCATGGGGAGGATGAGGCGGCGACCGACACATCCGAGGTCATGCTGGAGGCTATTTGGGGCTGCACCATTTTGCAGCTGCGTCAGGCCGCACGGGTTGCCGCATCGCATGGATTTCGCGTGTTTATCTTGAGTTACGTTCGGCAGCGGATGTTGGCGGGTGAGGGGTTGAGGGTGCGGGAGTTGGGCGGCTGGTGCCCCTCCGCGTTTCGCAGCTTTCACTTGGATGTGCGCACCACGGCGCCACGCGAGTCCTCGACGCACACCTCCTCCATCGCGCTTTTGGAGGAGGCGCGGCGCGGGTTCGCCGCCGACGCCGACGCCGAAGCCGCCGCGAAGCCCGGCACGCGGGGTCGTCCCTGCGACGGCGCCGCGACGAAAAACCACCGCGAGAGCGCGGCGTGGGTGGAGGGCGCCTTTCCCTTTGCGGTCGCGGAGGCGGTTGTGGATGTGCGGCGGGATGCGCTTGTGCCGTGGGCGCGGGTCTGTGATAGCCCCCTCACCGCCCGCCTCTTCACCGCGCTCTACGATCGGCGGCACTTCTGCGTGGCGGATGCGGTGCTGTACGCCTCCCAACGTGTGGTGCTGCCGTTTCTCCTCGGCCTCCCCCCGACGGCGTCGGCGGCAGCGTCGTTGGACGCGGCTGCTGGAGGCGGCGGCGCCGCGGCCTCGTCGGTGGGGCTGATGCGCTGGTCGGAGATCCATGCCGTGCTGCGGTGGCGTTTCTTTGAGCCGGCCTTCGGCTCCCTCGCGCAGCTGGTGCGCACGGAGGACGTCGCCGCGGTGGGCGGCGGCCTCGATCCGTTTATTTTCCCCCTCCACGACGCCTTCGTGACGCGGGTCCTGCTGCCGCGGATGACGGAGTACCACCGCGCCACCTGCGGGGCCGCGGGGGGCCCGGCGCGGCGGAGCTCACCGGCGGCAGGGGGAAAACTCGCCCACGCGACACCGTCGGCGCCGACCACCGTGACGGTCGACATCCTCAGCTGCTTCAACAGCCTCGTGGGCGGGCGGAGCCACACGGGCGGCGGCGGGGCCGTCATGCAGCGGGCGAGCAAAGACGAGCACAAGCCAATGACGATGCTGGACGCATCCAACTCCGATGTCGGGCGCGGCGATGCCCACTTCAAGCTCTCTGACCTACCAAGCCTGGTGAACTACCTGCTGTACTTTCACCAACACTTTGAGGTTCATGGCGGCGGCGCAGCTCTGAAGTTCACCCCACACGAGGGTTGAGTTGCCACGGCACGGGGGCCGGAGCGAGACAAACCTTTACTGCTCCCTATAGAGGCGGTAGGGGGTGGGGGACTTGCGCCCGTGCGCCACTGGGGTTGGCGTCATAGTGGCGGCAACATCGCACGTCAACAAAATAAATCTCTGAGTTGTTTTGTTTTCTTGTGTATGTGTGTGTGTGCTTTTTTTATTATTATTGTTGCCTGCCTGTTGCTTCTCCTTCCTGCCTCTCGCCTTCCTCGACTTCTTCCGCAGCGTATCTGTTTTTTTTTTTTTTTGCTTCGACTCCAACAGCGACGCAGAAGGTGGTGTGTAGATAAGTGCGCAGGGGCGGCGAAAGGAAGGTTTTCCGCGCAGCGAGAAGTTCGCCCTACCGGTGGCGGCTCTTTCGTCCCTGCAGGTGTGTGTTTAGCGGAGGCCCAGCGGCAGGCGCAAGAGGCGATGGAGAGGCGCCTACCGATAGAGGAGGAGAGAGGCGAGGAAACAACAACGGAGGTGCTGCTTGCCGATTGGCTCCTTTGCCGGTCATCCGACTCGAGCTCGACGGAGAGCCTCACTCCCTCCCTCAGCCGCTCCGCCGCAGAATGCTGCGACTTGGCTTTTCAACGTGGCCACGGGAGTGTCAGCGGCAGCGGCAACGGCGCCATAAGTAACGGCAAGCAGCAGAAAGTTTCTCCAAACAAGGGGCAAAAAATGCAGCCCTGTCGTTGGCTGCTGCGGCGTCCTTCGCAGGGAAAGACGCAGTCAGAGGTCAACCATCTGCGCATGAATGGACGCAGCGACGCAGATGGTTTCTCGCCACTGTGCAACGTCCCCTTCCTAGCGCAACAGCAGCGGGGCGCAGGCGTGAGGCAGACAACTCCAATTCCACACTTCACGCAGTTGTGTCGGCTCACGGGGTCACCACGGACCCGACGCCGCGTACAATTTAAGCTCTTCCAGGACCCGTCACCCTCGCAGCTTCGCCGCCTCAGTGAGGCATGCACGGACTTTATACTCGTTTGTCTGGTGCTGCTGAGCCTCATTCTGGTTCTCTTCTTTTGACAGGGTGGGTGCCGTTGTTGTTGCTGTTTTTTTTATTATTATTAACTTTCCTTCTTTCCACTTCCACTTCCACTTTGACTTTTATTTATTTATTTTTTCTTTCTTATTGCGCCAGCTTTTTTCTTCGTCTTTTTTTTGTTGTTTATACCGGCACGTGGCTTGCGTGTGTATGCAACGCCACGCACTCGGTTACCTCTCCGTAGCACTCCCACTGTTTTTTTTCTTTGCTATTTTCCTTTTACTACGCATACGCATACGTATATATATGCGCCTGCAACGACACACACACACACACACGTGTTTATATGTATGTAAGTATAAAAGTATAAAAGTACAAAAGTACAAAAGGCACATGCGTTTGTGTGCGTTTGTGTGTGTGTGTGTGTGAGTTTGTGTGTGTTTATGTGTGTTTATGTGTGTTTG